TTTATTTTTTATTTTTTATTTTTTGTTGTTGTTCTTTTATTTTGTTTTATTTTGGTTTTTTTTTTTTTGTTGGTTGGTTGGTTTGTTTTGTTTGTGGTTTTTTGGGGGTTTTGTTTGTTTCTTTGTTTTGGCAAACAAATACAATTTTTCTTTTTATTATAAATACTAATTGGAACTTATGTAATGTTTATGGTTATATTTTATTCAGTTAACCCGGTCACTGTTGTTGCTGTTGTTAAGGTACATGGGTTAGCATTTTACCTAGGTTCTATTCTGAATATGTTGACAATATGCCTTAAGCACAATATGCCTGCTGTCATGAGGTACATGTCCTGTAATTGACCTTTCTGAATTCTGCATATACTGCAACATTATAGGTGTGTGTGTTCCTCATTTGCAGCAGAAATATTGAAAAAACATCCTACTGCATGGAGCAAAATAGTGGCTTACATAGTTAATGGAAACCCAAAAAAAAGGCTGAGACAGGGGAGCAAGTAGCTCCATCAGAACTCCAAGCAATGGTCCAGCTTGGATGGGAGCTTCCTTGAAGGAGTTTTTGGTTTCTTTGTATGAAGACTAGTGGTTTCGTTGTGTCAGAAACCACCTATAATTATTTAATGCTACTAATTTCCTCCAGCTTCTAGAAAGACAAAGCTGCCATGTACTTCTTAAAACACACAGACTTCTTGTTTAAGATTTCATTTGAAGCATTTCTTTGTCCTAATTCATCTTTAAATATGATGTTGTAACGCTTGCTTACACTTAACAGAGTACCTGCCAGTGCTTTCAGACTATTTAATGAAAGGCAACTTCATTGCAAATTAATTTATGAATTTTAAGAAACTCTGGGTGTGTTCTGTGACAGAGTTCATGTTAGTTGGCCAGCCTGTAGCCCTTGTAATATGAAGCTTCTGAATGTCAGATGTGGATTCCTAACAAATGTGCTTATTTTAGAGTTAACCTGTGGCATCTGATTTTTTCTTCTCTATCCCCTTCCCTTGTTAGACATGAATATTCCTCAACTCTCAGGAGCAGAGGGTGATGCCACTTAATGATTTTAAATATAGTCTCTTGACAGATATCTTTTTATGCTGTCAGTCATTGCTATAAGATCAACTCCAGGTCCAGTGATCAAAGGAATACAATTATATGACCAAGTACAAAAAATGAACTTTAGGGCTGCTTGTTGAAACATGCATAAATTGAAGTGTTTTTTAACAACTGCAGTTACCCCAGCTTTCCAGTAGCTGACACTTTCACCAAAATACTTTAATCTCAGTTCTCATAATTTCTGATTCCTTCCTTTTTCCCCTGTTGAGCTGTCATTTTGTGTACCTTTTTCTTGAAAGGATTCCTTGCTTGGAGGCTTGATTACTGTGACTTCTCTATTACTTCCAAATATATTAGTGATGCTGCATTAGTGGACTGCATCAGTGCCATTCACAGGTGCTCTTTCTGTGATTGCAATGCCCTGTTGTTCAATCCTCACCCTTTCCTGGTGGCTTAATGGGCAATTAAAAGCTGTGGAGGTTTTGGACCCTTAGCAGTCCCACCACGTGTCAGTCTATTTCAACACAAGTAATATTTAAAAAGAACATCAAGCCTACTGTAAAATGTAAGTGTAGTTTTACTGTTGTAAGGCCAACATAAAGGTCATTAAGGAAACTTAATAACCTAAATGGCTTCAATTCTGAAAGTGCCTAAATCTTCACAATTATGCTATCTTCCAAAATTTTCAGACTTGTATCAGACATACCATCTGTTTTGTCAGAGAATTTTACTTGTGTAAGATACTACAGTGACCTCGAGGACAGCTTGTGTGAATGATGAGTAAAGCGTGAGGCAAAAAGATGGAGGCAGAGGGGAAAGCACCCTCAGCTGGGACCAAGGGATTATCAACCTCAGCTTGGCAACCTCACTGTCAGTCAGGGAGAGGAACTGTTTCTGTCCAGGAGGAGACACTTGGGACAGATATCAACAACCTGCCTTGGAAGGCAGCAGCCAGGACACATCAGAGAGGCCATAACCTGAGAGGCAAAACCTTTCTT